TGACAGAAGCATCAGTGGGTCATGCGGACATCCTCTCGGAAGAAGACACATGCAACACTGTGCTCCAGTGTAACCTCCTCCAGGAAGCCCTCCTGCACCTTCCAGGGAGTTCTGGTGAGCCCTGAACTCCCTACTCATCAGAGAGACCCCAAGGAGAGTATTGAGGTCTGCTAGTTCTCCATGTCCTGCCTGCCCTGAGCCTGGAACCAGCCTGGCTCAGGTAGGGACCTGTTCCCCACCAAGTCTATGTAAGAGAGTCCCTGAGGTGCCTTCAGGCCAGCCCTAAAGGTGGCCCAACCGACTTCTCCATTCAGGACTGGCTGACATCTATTATGGGCTAAAAATTGTGCCCCTCTCCCCCAAAATTCATAATGTTGAATTCCTAACCCCCAGGAACTCAGGATGTGAGTACAGTCATCCCTCAGCGTACCTGGCGGGGACTGGTTCCAGAATCCCCTCATATAGCCAAATCCACACAAACTCAAATCCCACATCATATTCCAAAAGCCTGCCCTCCGAATATGAGAGTTTCGCATCCCACAAATACTGTATTTTCAATAGTGTTTGGTTAAAAAAAAAAATCCGTGTATAAGTGGACCCACAAAGGTCAAACACATGTTGTTCAAGGATCAACTGCATATTTAGAGATGGGAACTTTTAAAGAGGTAATTAGGTTAAATGAGTGGCCCCTAATCTAATCTGACTGATGTCCTTACAAGCAGAGGAGATTAGGACACAGACAAACACAGAGAGGAAAGGCCATGTGAGGACACACCAAGAAAGTGACCATCTGCGAGCCAAGGAGAGAAGCCTTTTGAAAAAAAACTAAACCTTCTGGTACCTTAACTTCTAGCTTCCGGAACTGTAGGAAAATACATTTGCTATTAACATTTAAGTCACCCAGTCTGTGGTATTTTATTATGGTAGTCCTAGCAAATGAACACAGTACCTAACAGACGAATTAAGGAATGAACAAATCCTAGAAACAGCTCCCACTGACAAAAGTATCAGTGGGTCACCTGTTATGCCCAATAACAGAAAAAAAAAATACACACACACACACATAACACTATATATATATCATATACAATCACATATATATGATTATTTGCCTTCTGAAATTATATCCCCCATCCACATCAGAATATATGAAAGTACCAAGAATTCAGACATAATTTACATTAGAGAAATTTTAAAACTCCAGATACTATCCTTCTAAAAGGCGTCACAAAAAAATCTCCTTATAAAGAACATGTTTCTCTAATAAACTTCAGACTGTTGGCTGGCTTTTTAAAATTAAAATTTTGAAATAGCTTTTGATATATCTACTACACAGAGTGAGGTCCGCTAGTAAGCTAAACTCATGGTTTTCACCCCTACTGAGGCCCCTCGGGCTGCTGCAGACGGCCTGAAGGAGGCCAGTCAGGCAGGCTGCATGGGAATAAGGCCCAGCGTTTCTGACTTGAACCAATCAGGGTAGCTCCATGGTTACCTTTTCTCACATTGAGGTTCTGCGCACGATTCTATTTGATTAATAATCCCACTGGATTAAAATAAAAAGTATAAAAACCACCGAACTAAGCTATTATTTCAGTTAAACTTGAAAATCAGGATGTGGAAATATGTCTGATTTACAGTTACCATGATTGTCTTCCTCTCTCAACAGAGTATCTCCCAGGAGGGGCACATGCTTACAATTTAAAAATACCTAACAAAGGTAGGGGACGTCGTGAACAGTCTGAAGAGCTTTTCCCCAGCATACAATTGATTAATTATCACATAAAAACATAACACGCAGTAACAGCAATGTTTCCACCAGTAATCATACATGCTTTGCAGTCCGTAGTTGGCTAATCTTTATACTATACTGCTCGCTAGTTGAGCAGGAAAGATGTTCCTTTCTATACGGTAGAAAACTGATGTGAAGAACGTTAATATTCTGAGAGTGAATGTAGAAATCATGTTTAGTGTTCTTCAGGCAATGAGATGGAGCAGACTTAGATCTGAGTCCTTACTCCCTTCACTTACTGACTTGGCATCCTGACTACTTATTAAACATCTCAAAAACTGTTTTCTCCCCATAAAACGGGAGGAGAGTAACTACCTAGAAGCTTTGTGAAATTAAAGAAAACACTGCATGTAAAGTACTGAGCTATACTTTGCAGGTAACAGAGGCTCAACATGTCTCCCCTTTCACACCTGTCCCTGCAATTAACCATGAGTGCTCTTAGAAACGGACTAATTGTGCAGAAACAGCAAGGAATGCTGAACTGTGGATTCCTACCTTAAAATACTGATTTCCTTTTTTTCTGAGACGGAGTCTTGCTCTGTCACCCAGGCTGGAGTGCAGTGGCGCAATCTTGGCCCACTGTAATCTCCACCTCCCAGGTTCTAAGAGATTCTCCTGCCTCAGCCTCCAGAGTAGCTGGGATTACAGATATGCGCCACCAAGTCCAGCTAATTTCTGTATTTTTAGTAGAGACAGGGTTTCATCATGTTGGCCAGGCTTGTCTTGAACTCCTGACCTCGTGATCTACCCACCTCGGCCTCCCAAAGTGCTGGGATTACAAGTGTGAGCCACTGCCCCCAGCCTGAATTTCTTTTTTAAAAAAGTTTGACAGTAACATTTAAAGACTTGCTCCTGGCTACACGGGCACTCCCCACATCAATGCCTCTTCTCACAGGTACACTCCAACATGATCCATGGAGATATGATTGCCTTTCTAAGACCAATCAAGATGAAAAATAGCATTCCTATAGGAAAGATTTTTCATTATCAGTTACAAATCAGTCTTTGAAGTTAGAAGTTTCATTTTTGTTTTCAATAATTTGTTTTGGCAATAAACTAATTTTTAACTAGTTAATTTATACTAGTTAATTTATACTCACTTTGAAAAAGAATTAGTTTGTTTAGGCAATAAACTAACTGTGTGAGTCTCAACAACACTTTGGAGTATAAAGCTATACACTTAGCAGAGAATCAGTACTCACTAAATACTTGTTACACAAACAAAGGGAAGACAATCATAGAATTTAAATGTTGAGAAGGAAGAGAGAGATTGTAAATGAAACCCTCTGATTTTAAGAAGAAACTGAAGTCCAAACAAAGCAAATGACTTCCCTAAGGTGAGATAGATAGATATAGATATAAGAAAGTTATTAGTAACATCAAGACCACAACATAACTATTATTTTAAAGCCAAATTAATCTTTTGATCATCTTTGAGACCCTTAAGTCTATTGTTCATTTCCACTAACATGAAGAACTGACCCCTTAATAGGAAAAAGATAACTGTAGTCTTCTATTTAGTTTTATATTTAATCAAAAGCACTTATTATTCATAACTGTTAAGAAATCAGAGCACAGATGGAAGAGGATCCCAAAAGCACAAACAAGAAGAGTTGTAGGGTAATGTGATAGGGTTTTTCTGGTCTTAACAACCAAATTAAATTACTATAGATGCAGGGAAAGTGATAGATAAAATTAAACTTATAAAATAAAAACCAGAATTCTTTAAATTTAAAAATCAACACTTATTGATTAAAAAAAAATCCATCAGACCTGGTCTAAGTACGTTCTATTTTTATTCTCACATATTTAATCTTCAAGATAACCATGTGAGGCAAACAATGGTCCCATAATCCCCATTTTACAAATGAGGAAACTGAGACACAGAGAATTAAATAATTTGCCCGAGATAACACAGGATTAAAACCCAGACAATCTGGAGCCAGAGCCCACACTCTTATCTACCATTTTATAATGTTTTAAATTGTATTACTATGTTTTAATACAATATATTTTATTGTAAAGCTAATAATTCATTTTTATTTAATATGTAGTTAGAACTCAAAGTATTTATACAATGCTTATCAAATTTCTAACAACATCGCATGAGCATTTTATTATGCAGTATTTAGTAACACTTGTGTAAGTAGACCACAAAATGTCACAGGCTATATATTAAGGATACAACTTTAAGGCATTTTCAGAGACTCCTCATAAAAATTAGTTGCTAAGTCAGTCTAACAGATGCCATTATCAGGTCCCAAACTGTTTAGCCATAAAGTAGTCCCTCCTTATCTGCAGGAAATACGTTCCAAGACCACTCAGTGAATGCCTGAAATCACAGATGGTACCAAACCCTAGGATACTTTTTCCTATACACGCATACGTGTTTCAAGTTTAATTTATAAATTAGGGACAGTAAGAGATTCATTACAGTAATCAATAATTGAGTAAAACAATTAAGTCAAATAAGGGTTACTTGAACACAGCACCTCAAGACCTCAACAGTCAACCCGATAACAGAGGGCTACGGAATGACTAATGGGGCAGGTAGCATCTACAGTGTGGATATGCTGGACAAAGGGATGATTCACGTCCTGGGTGGGACAGGGAGAGATTTTATCACACTACTCACAACAGCATGCAGTTTAAAACCAATGATTTATTTTTGGAATTACCCATTTAATGTTTTCGAACCTTGGTTAACCTCAGGTAACTGAAACCATGGAAAGGGAAACCGCAGATAAGGGACTACTGAATACAGAAAAAGAAATGAGATTGCTTTAGATTCTGTTGTTGTTCTGTAATTAAAAGTAAGTTTACATAACAGTTACAATGCCTTTTTATAGAAAAATATTAATCAAACTGACTTAATTCCAGAAAGGAAATCTATATGAATCATGATTAAAAACTTGTATTAAAAGCAAGGTCACTCCCCAGGCCTTGTAACCGAAAAGTGGCCATCAGGTCTGAGACTCTATTCGTATTTTGGCTACACCACCATTTAAAGATGAAGGCGATAAGAAACAACCAAAATAGTAATTAGAAAAGGAAATTTAAATCTATTATCATTACCATCTGCAGTTTCTATTGTTGCAGATAAAATTTCTGATGACAAAGTCCATTACCAGTACATGTAAACGAAAGTATTAATGAAACATAAAGAAAACTTTTCTTTGAATTTTCCCACACCTCATTTGTTGTTGCCTACCTGGAATCCATGCTTGCCTCTCCACCATGTGCTTAACACTTTCGGAGGCATGTCAATAACAGACACAATGTCTCCCACCTAGGAGAATCAAAATTGTAAGCAAAATGGTTTTAGTTAAAATTTAAACCAATTGTTATACCTGGAATTTAAATCTGAACTGTATGAAAAGGTAAATTACTATTCATGCTCTGGCCAGTAATTTCCAAAAGAAGTACCACTTCCTTTTAAAAACAATTTAATTATATTATGATTTGTGAAAGAGAGGTCTACAAAAAGTTAAGCAGCACAAAGACTGTGATTCAACTAACACACGTGCAGTAACTTCAGAAAGCCAGATTAATAGCATAAGATTTTTAAATGTTAGGCATCACACCATTATCATCACTTCTGTTAAAATATTGTTACTGCTGTCACTGAGAGTGATCAGATTCACTTATGAAAGATAATTTTAAATATTCATGCTTAGAAACAATAACAGATTCCCTTAATAGTACATTTAGTGGGTGCTTACCCTGTGCCAGGCACTGTACTGAGCTCTTGACATATCTTATTTAATCATATAGAAAAGGGCCTAAGATGGGTTATGCTTAGTAAGTATAAAATTTGATGACAACTACACTTCTTTCAATAGATAGTAAAATATAATTATATCCACTAAAGAGCTTTCTTCACTGTAAAAGAAAAACTAGCGAGTTTATATAAACTCATATAAAATCATAAATATAAAAATTACAATAGTTTTTAATAATATATTCAACAGAAGTTATATTCTTCAATCAAAAGAAATGCTGATATCTATGATAAAACATAGTTAAGAACTTCAGAGCAATGTTACTAACATATACTATAGAGCTTTAGGAATTTTTCTTTTGTATATTCACAACTGATCTTTCAAATCATGTATAAGCCATTTCGTAAAGCCATATATGCTGACATCATCATTCCAAGACCTACATTTCTTTCTGTACAGAACTTAAAAGTTTGAAAACAGTTCAGATTCTATGCAGTAAAAAGTTATATTATTATTTCTTAAATTTAATTAACTGTCAGCATTTTTTTCCTCATTAGCCAATATATATTTTTAGAGGAAAAAATTTAATTCCCCTCCTTTTATATCTGACAGCAAGATGTATTCATTTCACCTTTTATCTGTTCTTTAACTCAATCTTTCAACAATATAGGAAAAAAAAGTATCACTGGGTATTGTTTTTCGGTACAAAAACACAAAAAGACAGACCTTGCTTTCAAGAAGCTCACTGAGACAAAGAGAACAATCATGATTAAATGTAATAAGTGATGTGTCAGCAATAAGCCATGAGCACAGTTCAGAATGACATTCAATTCAGGTTTTTGGGAGGTATGTATTTGCATGGAGTGAGGGGAGGGAGATCAGGAATGACTTCCCAGACAAAAGAGGAGACATTTAACCTCAGTTTTAAAGGATAAGTACTGTCATTTAAACAAAAATAGAAGATATTACAGGCGGAAAGATAAAGGACTATGGAAAAACCTGGTGCTTTTCATTTTTTTTTAAATTAAGGAAGTGGTTAAGAACAGTCAAAGATGAGGCCAGAAAGGTAGCAGGAACCAAATAACAAACAACCTCTTCAGCTATTTACCTCTAAGGTCAGTTCGTCAGGGGCTCGAGCGGTGTACCTCTTGATAACATGGGCAGCACCAACAGCAGGAGTGTTGATGGATGACTCCTCATGAACCAAAAGGTGATTTCCCTTATTATCAATCTATCACAAAGAAAATGTACTCTGAGATAAAGACACTGGACCTGAAAATGCTTCTTTGACTATCTATAGGAGAAATTCATTTTAATTTAGAGATACAATAACCCAAAGAGTCTTTAAAAAAAAAAATCCTACCATTTACTGGGTAGTTAAAATATGCTAGTCATTGTGCTGTGCCTATAACATATATGGTTTAATTTAATCCTCACAACTTTAAAAAATACTTATCATCATTTAAAGGTGAGGATGCTAAAGATGAAAGAGGCTATGTAATTTACAAGAGATTCAATAGTTTTTCCAAGATCTCAATGCAGGTTGGCCCATAGTTCTATATTCTTTCCACTTTCCATCTTGCATTCCCAATTTCCAGGGGGAGGAGAAAACAATATAACTCTACATATGCAAATTAAGAATAAATATGTAATCTATTTACTGAATAACGTTTCACTCAACAGTTATTCTTACAGAGGACCCTTTAAGAAGTTGTCCCTTGCTCATAAATAACTGAAAAATATTTTCAATTACTAAGTCAACTAAAAAAAAGTACTGAATATATACACTAGTATATTAAACACCAAAATAACAGGTATTATTGATATTCAGTTTCCAAGATTATCAAAGAAAGATTTGAGACGAAAAAATATTTCCTATATCACGTATCTATCCTCCCAGATGATGAGAATGTACTCCATTTCTTTGATTGCTGAAGCTCAATAGATGTCAAAATTATGTTAATATCAAATTTCTTAAGTAGATAATTTAAATATACATTTTTCACGAAAAGTGAATTAGGAAATACCTCCATCCAGGTAAGGGCGGGCCCACAGTTGATCTTGTTGCCAGCGATAGCTGAAAGGCGTGACAGGTAAGCCATAAGCATCTGAGTGACCGACTGAAAAGAAAAAGATTCAGTGTAACTCTGAGGAAAGATACTATGTTCTCTGGCAGAGAAAACTGACGGTTTCTGGAAGAAAAAATCTATAGATCTTTAGGCATTTTAATAGTTACAGAGGATTCTTCACAGAAACTCACCAGTAGCACTATGGGCACTTACATAGCAACTCAGCCCGGTCTCATGCAGAGCTTCAACTTCTAGCCCCTTATCAGCGATCGTACTATTCCACGGTTTCTAATTTCATCACTTTCTATTTTTGTACTGAATATGCAAAAAGATAACTATAGCAGATCCATATCTGGCGTTTCTGCCTAGATTTCCCCTACTACTCGGAAACCCTTTTCCCCAAGACCCACTGTCATCTTCCATGAACATGGCTGTGGCAGGAGCAGCCATGTTCATACGTGATCCTACACCACGGTTCAGCTGACTGGTCCAAGAAATATTCCTAAATATTGGTGGACCAATCAAAGAGTTATCCAGGAATTAGGACACAGATTCTAGCTCAGTTTGGCTGCTCCCTTAAAAGGGGATAAAAACCTGGGACCTCTTGGTGGTGGCCATGTTTTAGGATAATCTGAGAGAAAAAAATGAAACAGGAAAAAAATGAAATGAAGCAGAAATGAGAAATGCAGATAAAGGGACTTTTAGATTTTCTATGGTACAAAGAGATCCGTGTTTTAAGACACTCCTGAGACCCTGCTGCAGTGTCCGTTATATTTTAACACTTAATGAACCCACTAAATCTCAGAACATGGCTTTATTTAGATCTGGTGGGAGGAGTGGTTTACACCAATTTTTCATTATTTTCTTGCATCCACTCTCTCCTCCTATAACTCCCATCGACAGAAACCGCTCTGGACCTATTCTCCATGACTCCCAACTGTTCTCTCACAACTTGCTAACTTTCTGTCCCTTCCAGGGGTTGTATTCTTATTATAAATGACTTGGCTTGATCACCCAACTCCCTGACTTTCTCTTCAGCTGGGTACATTCTGCATGGAGTTCAGTCATTCAGGTTTGCTCTTATTAAAATTAATGTAAATGATCCTATATTCGTTTACAACATCTCTGATTTTATTTATTTAAATCCATTTCATGGATGTGACAGCTTCATTTTCTCTCAGAGGATAGTAATCATCCTTCGAAAAGCCTTGTTTGTACCTCTCGGTTATTTTATTTCTTCAGTTTCTATGTGTAAACTTTCTAGTCTCCCTATGCTTTGCAGTCATGCTGCACTTACATGTTTAGGCTATATTTACTCTTCCCCATAAACTTTATCCCATCTACTTTTAAAGATTCCTCACAATTTTTGATTCCCTGATGGTACTTTTGGTTTAACGATGCTATAAAGAACCTCTGTTTAGAAATCTTTTATGTTTTTACTAGACATTTTTTGCAGGGGTGAAGGTAGGTGCATACACCCAGCATGCTGTCATAAACTACTCAAACAACACTGTTTTAATATGGATTTCTTTGATATGAAAGGCAACGTTTTTCCCTATTTTTGCTTCCATTTTTATGTGCTCTCTGGAGAATGATTTGCTTTTATATATTGTTTGTTTATATATTATGAGTTGTTTTCCCTTATAAAATTATGCACTGAACCTACTCTAATTCTAAACATTATATTTAACATAATTCTAAACATTATATTTAACATTTGCCGCTTTCAAATGACCTGTTACCGATGCTTGTGCGCTGCAATGCATTTAAGCGTCTCTGGAAGCCCTACTCGGATTGGCGCTGCAGCGTTTCAGACTCCTCATGAAGTGGACAACCATTCAATTCATGATTATCAGTTAGCTGTTCCATACAGTGATATCTATATACCAAATGTTCAGACCTCGTGACCCTGGCTCTGGATGGTGTACAACCCTCAAGGATCGTACCTTTCCACCGCCATTATTCAGATTCAATTTACCGTCAGGGATGATAAATTCAGCATTGATAATCAATGTTGATGTGATTCGTCGTAAAGTTCTTCCATTACAGCGCCCTCTGACCTCATGGTGCCTCAGCATAGGAGAGACTAGAGATAAACTAATGAATAGATAACATCTGTAGTGTGATCATGCAGGACAAGGATTGAATTCTAATATAGTTGGAAACAGGAAGTTTATCTTTATTTCCCAACATTGTCCAGGTTTCTTAAAACCAGATGATTATTTTGAGGTCTACCCATTAATATTTTGAACCTTATTAACCTCAGTGTAACTCATTGTGAAGGGAAACCATAGACAAAGGGCCTGAATCTGAAAAGCCAGATTGCTTTGGTTAACATCGTTCATACACGATTTAAATAAGTTGCCTGCGCGGTTATATTCTTCTGTAACGTCAATCAGACAGTTGTTCTGAAAATCGATGCGGAGATTAAGCGCCGCTGGTGATCATCTGCCAGGCGCTAACGAAAAAATGCGTATCAGATCTGGACTCATTGTGTGTGACTTATGCCTTTCTGGCGGCGTCGGCATTGGGCGCTAAACTGAAGATCGTGTTGAAAAGTTTAAAATCTATTACTCATTCTATATCTTGTGGTTTCTATTGTTTGACTGCATTGAGCTGGTGACAAGTCATTCCTAAGTATATTATAAAAACTAATGAATACAAAACTTTCTTTGATTTCCCTTGCTGTTTTGCTTTCTGAATCATGTACCTCTGCCGTGTGGCTGCTTCAGAAGGCATGTCAATATGACTGGCCTCTGTGCTAAATCAGTGCCATGACAAATGGTTTTACCACATTTAAGTTAACTGATTGTATCTGGAGTTTAAATCAGACTGCTGGCAGAAGTGAATGTTTATTATTACTCTGCAGTAAGTAATTTAAAGTACTTCTTTTTAACTCAATTGACTGTTCTTGTGGTTATGAAAAGAAATTACAAAGACCAGTATACAAGGCCTGATTCAGCTCAACATGGCATTGCGTGCGCCTAAAATGCGATTCATGACATAGAATTTTTCAAATCTTCAGGTATCTTCATCTCATCTAACCACCGCATTAAAATCATTGTTCTGTGTCACTGGGTGATCGATTCCGCCTGGAATGTTAATATGTTAACGCGAAGTAATAACGATTCGCCGTATGTTGTTGTTATGCTGAATATATTATAATGCCTCTGTTATCGCACATTCAATGTATGGAAAAGAGGCTCAGATGGTTCTTACTTAAGTATAAAAAAAGTTGATGGCAACTACACTGCTCATTTGAATGGTAAATCTAATTCATATCTGCTGGTAAGCCACTGTTTTTTCTTTAACAATAAAAAAACTAGCAGAGTTTATATAACTCTATAGATGTAAAATGCTAAAATTACAATAGTTTTTAATATATTCAATGAAAAGTTCGCGTTATTTGATCAAAAAAAATGCTGAATCTTTGCAATTGAGGTATGGTTGAACTTCTTGACCGTCTTCGCGACGTCGCCTGTGCAGACCTTGCAAGGATTACCTTCTTTTTGTGTTAACTGATTATTTTCAATGAAAATCATTTTGCCTAAAGCGACTTATTTGTCTTTATATTACATTAATCAATTCAAAGGATATATATTGCCTTTCTTGGAACAAGATCTGACGGACTCAGGATATACCTTGCGGTAAAGGATTCTCTTCATTTCTTCAGTTCAAATTGTTTATCAGTAAATTTTCTCGTTAATCGATATTTCTTTACCGGCGCATTAATTACTATTACTATTCTCTACGATGTAAGATGTGTTCTTTCTGCTATCATGTTCTTTGCTCGTCATCTACTTGTGGTAAATGTCGCCTGGTTTTGTTTTTGGGTGCTGGCATCCTAAAAAAATAGTTGCCCCAATACCTAAGGCTCTGGACAAAGAAATAATCATTATTCAATATAATAAGTGATGTATTATTAACAACAACCACCAGCCCCAATAGATGACATTCAGTCCGGTTTAGGAGGTGCTGTTTTACACACATGCAGTGAAGGAGGAATCAAGATAGCGCCAGACCAGAAGGGCGTTTCGCCTCAGTTTCAGGGGATGACTGTCTTCCATAAATGAAAATAATACAGTGCAGAAGATAAAAATTACCAAACCTGGTTACTTTTCATTTTTCAAGTAAGTGGTTAATGATCATTGTTGGAAGGTGGCAGAACCAATGTAACCAACATCTTCATTTCTTTCAGTTAGTTATCAGGCTTAAGCGTTACTATCTTCCCAATCACTAGGCGCTGTTGCGGGTGGTGGATGAAATATCATTGACAGGTGATTCCACCTTTATAATTCTAAAAAATATACTCATGGATGTTCGTTTCAAGTGCTTGCGACCTCACGGAGAAACTAACAACTGGGAATTACAATGCTGAGGAATCTTTGCAAAAAATCCCTATGCTGGGTGTTCAAAATCTACCAATGTTGTGTGCTTTGCATACCATGGTTTGATAAATCTAACAAAAGCTGCTATATATTTAGTAGGACCACCCCAAGTCAAGAAACTACTGACTAAGATCAACTGGTTTTTCTGAATCTAATGAGGTTGCTTTGAATTACATGCTTTCCACTTTCGCTCACATTTGTTCGGGAAAGCTGCCGCTCCACGCGAATTAAAATCAACCTTCATCCTTTCTTTGTTCTTTGTTTCTCAACGTTGCTAGGACCTTATAGAGACCTACCATTTCACTAATATTTTTAATATTTCATTCTAAGTCATAACAAAAGCTGTTTGTCTCTTGTGTGGCTCTTCAAACTTTAAGCTCATGGACCTTATGGTGTGTTTCAAAATTATCTAAAAGAAAGATTTGAAACGAAAAATATTTATCAGCTCCCATCCTCCAGTGGTGAGAATATGTACTCTTGTTCATTGCAGTTACCAGACTCATTGAATATCAAATTATCTTCAGTATCAATTGTAGTGAATAATTTAATGCAATTTTGCTATAGGTGATTAAATACTCATCAGGATAAGAAATGAGACCGTTGATCTTTACCAGACCAATAGAAAAATGTGACAGTGTCTCTGTAAGACATTCGGTGGCATTTCAAAAAGAAAAATTAATTCATGATATGAAGGGCTATATATTCTCATGACGAAGCCAGCGGTTGCAGGCGTCTATAGTCTTTGAGCGTTTCGCTGATTACAGAGTTTCTCTCTGAACTCTTAATGCTTCTTGAGGAAGGCATTACCGCTTGCTCATTCAAATCTTTAGATATGTTCATGCTGTGGCGATGCCATTATATTCAAGTTTCTGTTCCTCTTTCTATTTTGTGCTGAAATATTTAAAATGCTTTCTATGAATCCATTTCCATGAAGTTTCTGTATGATTGCCTACCTGCTGAAACCGCGCTTTGCCCAGACCCTGCTCATCTTCCAGCGCTGCACGTGGCTGCTGAGCAGCCACTATTCATGTGTGAATCGCTCTGCCGCTGGTTCAGCTGTGACCGGTCGAAGATATACCACTAATATGCGTTCCCGGTTAATCAGAGATCTATCAGATGGGCCCGGTTCTCTGCGAAAAACAGGTGCGGCAATATGAAGGAATAAATGGACCTCTACAGTGTTTGATATTTGGATAATCTGGGTAGTGAGCAAGCATTGGCTAAACAAGTATGAAATTCTCTGATAAGGAATTTCCACGGTTCCTGCTGTTTCTGAAGATCATTCTATTTCAGACCCATCCTGAGTTCCTTTCTTTGCGTGTCATTCTGTTTCTTCAAACATGTCAGACCTACTCAATCGACCACATTTATTTGAATCATTGGAAGTGGTTTCTCTCAATTCATTCATTTCGTGGCATCACTCTCTCATATGTTTCCAACCCAAATGAGCAACAAACCCTCTTCTCTACCATGTGGCTCAACAACCATCCTCTGACCACTAACCTTAATGTCATAGAAGTTGATTACCACCATATGGCAGCCATTGTGCCAATCTGGGCATTTCTCTTTGGCGATTTGTTTCTGTAGTTCGATTGGCTCTCGGTTTGTTCATTCGTCAGGATCGTGTGACCGATCTATCATTAATTTTAACCTCCGTTTCTTATTACAATCTGTTCATGATTGACAATATTTTCCTCTCGAAGGATAATAATCATCTTGAAAACCATATGTTTTCCTCAGTTCTTCTGCCCGAACTATTGCTTTCATCGGCGTGTGTTTTTGAAAAACATCTTATGCCTCTTCCCCATGACATCACATCTGCTGCGCCAAAGTTGCTCACATTTTTGGTTCTCATTGTTGCCTGCCGGTTCGTGATTTACTCTTTAGACCTCTCATTAAAGAAATCTTTTATGTTTGCCAAATATTGGAGGGCGCGAAATGATTGCCTGCCCAACATCACCATCATGTATCAATAACCATAACACAATATGCAGATTCTTTGATACAAAACTATGTTCCTATTTACACACTTCCAACACATGTTGTCTCAGGAATGGTGTGCTTATCTTCATTCATTGTTTCATATTATCAGAGTTGTTTCTGCCGCCAGCAAGTGTACCTTTGAACCTCCTCTGTTCTGACCATTACTAACAACGCATTTCTAAACATTTATATTAACATTCTAAACATTAACACCAACATGTTCTTTACTTTCAGGTTAGCAAAACCCAGTGACATAGTCCCCAGTTGTCTGATGGTTTTCAATAAAAACACCTGTTTGACATGAATATTCTTTAGCTCATTGGTGATGCCTTTGCGTTTCCATTATACCAAAAATTACTAAATTGGCTGCCACCTCTGATTTCATCTTATAGTGTATCGACATGAGAGGGCTCAAACGGAAGATCTACAATCTTTGTCCATATGGTGAAGGTGCTTATTTATCATTTGAAAAATCTACTTCCTGTCATTTTACTTTCCTATTGGCAAAAAAACTACAAACCTATAAAGGCTGCAAATCATTCTCTGTGGCTGTTGCTGTGTGATTACATACTCTAATACAGGAAGTTTCTTATGTCGTTCATGCTCTGTGGTGACATCATGGTTTCTTGTAAAAGTGTGTGAATAGTGAAACCTATACCAACCTCTTACGACTCACATCAGCATTTCCGGTTCGCAACAACAATTACGATGTTTTGCATTTGAATCTACAAAAAAGAAAAAAGGAGCGCCACAATAACTTTGAGCGGAGATCCTGCTGGGTAAGAAAAAATAAATCAAGGTTTTTGATTTGACACAAATTCTAAACATTATATTTAACATAATTCTAAACATTATATTTAACATTACTAACTTTTCAGTTATGAAACAGGTAAGTAGTCCCAGGAGTCATCCTGAGTGTTCAATATAAGCTTTTGTTTAGTATACAGACAAAAATTTCTGCAAACTCATATATAGTGATTACCTTTGTACTAAATATACTAAAGTACTAAATGCTTACCTCTGGACTGTCCTTCAGGGTGTCAGAACGGGGAAGCTCTGAGAGCTGGGAAAATCTTCGGTCATAAATACATAGATGAAGATGTTTATCAAGTACCCGAAAATCTTCATAACTTCTTTTAACAATCCAACTTTTTCCCTATTGGTAGAAAAAAGAAACTCATATAATTCATCTCTATTGGGAAACACTTAAGAATCAGGCCTTATTCTATAACGTTATTTTATTCATGAGATTTTATATTTTCTAATGAGAAGTTTCTCTTGATAGTTAATAGCTAAAACGGCGAAACACTCTAATGAGTTATATTACATTAAAAGGCCAATAATGGAAAATAAGATAGAACTCTCCACCAACCCTCTTCCTACTGCTGGTCAAACTCCACTGCCTCACTTTCAGAACAATAACTGCTAAATGGTTAAGATAACATGTGATCTTAAATCTACCAAAAAGAAAAAAAAAACCATAAAATAACTTTGGGTAGGAGAATATTAACCAAAATTAAAGAAAAATAAAATCAGGTTTTTGATTTGTTACTAACAACATTTTCTCTGAGATCGGAAATATACTCAAAAACCAAAACTAATGAAGTCTTCCTCCATAAACACTTGATATTCACATAGCATCTAGAAACCTCAGCTCTCCCTGCCTCTCAGGGCTTCTTCCCTTCTTTGCCCAATCTCACAAGCTCATTTTTTAAAATCACACTCCGAAAGGATACTTATTAGATACTATCTTCCAATCTTCTCTTGAATCTATCACTTCTTGTTCAGTCCCATAGCCCAAGCTTCAGTAAGGACTATCATCATTTCTTATCTGAAATATTGCTAATATGCTTTGCCTTTGAACTCCTCCCCTACACCCCCAACTACAAAATACAGTTTATCAGCTCACACTGCAACAGCAAGTCCTTCAAAAGCTCCTGTGGTGAGTAATGATGAGTACATCCCAACTGTATAGCATGTAGTTTTGCAATTTAATCTAATTTTATGCAGAGTCTTTCGGCTCATAAAAATCTGGAGGGTCTGAAAGAAAAAGCCTTCAGAGTAACCAGTTCCTCCATCTGCCCCAGACAACTGCAGCGGAAACAGAGGGTATCACCTCACGACAGGGTGCTGATTTCTAATCCAAGTGTATCAAAAACTAACATGATAAACTTGCATAATCCCACTTTGGGCTGTAATCCTCCATGACATAGACAAAAAACCATTACCAGCTCCCTCTTTCAGGGCGTTCTAAGAATGAAATAATAGATGTGGCTGAGACTTCTACACTTGACCTTGGCTGAAAGGCAGAGAAGCAATGTGACTGAGACTTTTGAAGAACAGTGTCCTGATCCATATTCTGAGAGATGCTAATTCACTAAGTCTGGAAAGGGATCCAGTTAGTTCTGATGATTAGCCTGAATTGAGGGCCACTGGTCTACAGGATTAAACCCAAGCTATCCCCACATATCACAGCTTTTATCATCTGGGCCCTGTCTATTTCCAGACTGATCTCACTGGCTCCTCCTCCATGCCCTTTCTTGGCTTCCAGTTATATTGAATGATTTGCACATATTCGATTCATGAGCTGAATGTTCATTTCCTTGCCTTCATGATTCTTTAAGTGCTGTTTGTTCTTCCTGTCATGTTAGCTGTTTCTCTGGTGCTTTGCTCAAACAAACTCCTTTATTTTCTCAGTTCTATCACTACCTTCTACCCAAAGCATTCCTGGGAACCGCCAAGTTATGATGTACAAGCAACATTTTATTTCAAACTTGCCAAACTGGTCTCCAAAGTGGTAACACCAATTTATTCACCCAACAGTAGTATATGAGTTCTCACTGCCCCCAAATCCTTGCAATTCCTGGCATCATCAGAATTTACAGTATGCTAACAAAACAGAGATGAAATAGTATCTTCTTTTAATTTACATTCCCTTGATTATGAGTCAACCATAGCATCTTTTCATTTGTTACTAAGATTTCTTTTTGTATGAATTGCCTATTACTACCAAAATCCTGTTCATTTTCTCTATTACAATGACTTTTATGTATTGACTTCTAGAAGATTTTTGTTTATTAATATTCCAGAAAAATAATCTTTATAATTGACATGTATTGTAAAACACTGGATCCAAGTCTGAGACTGTCCCCTCAATTTACAGTACCTCATCAAAAAGAAGGAATATAAAACTTTATTTCCTTCTTTATGAATATAATCACAGATTAGGTAGTTTGCTGAAATTTTCACATAGATATGTGAAAGAACAAGTATGAAAATAAGTATCCAATAAAATAATTTAAATTTTCATCTGAACAAGAAGGCCTTACAGCCATCGCCCATAGTATTTCAAATTTATCCATTATATCTTCTGATTTGGGTTTGGCCTACAGTGTTTTTAAAATTGTATTTGAAAACATTTAGGTAGAGCACAGCAAACACAAGTTTGCCAATGCCATTACCACACCCAGCCATTTTCCTTAACTAACATTACCTATATAGATGCTTAATGTATTTAGATTTACCAATTCCTGAAATAAACACATAGCTAATAGCTTGGCTCTAGGACCACAATGTCCCAATTGTGAATCCTGGTTATTTAAGAATTAAATGAAATAAATCAATGTAAAGTACTTAGTAGTAGGCAGATAGAAATAGCTCAATACATGCTAGCTATTACTACTCTTTTTTAATTTGGAGAACTTATTCTGGGCTGAACCTACCAAAAGTAGAAAACAAGGTTTCCAAACAAATTCTCAGGATATTTAGCAGAACAAGCAAGCAGTCACCAATGCTCAACAACTTAAAAGACAAAAGAACATTCTTAACAATTACTTTTCAGTGCATCGAGGTTTCACTCAGCTACAAGTTAATATATCTTTAGAGATCAAAGACTGTTTTCCATATTGGCTGAACCATCAGCTTCAGCTTTGGAGAATAAAATCTCAAATTTAACATTATTATGTTGAATAATTCAGCATGCCCTGGTGATCATTCATTTATGTTTTGTTTTTCTGCTCCATTTCACAAGAAGATGTAAAATTAAGCTTCAACTCCAAGCGTGTGTACAATTATTCCACGGTATTAAAGGTGAGAAGAGAAATGACCTGCAATTTGGTAGGCTCACATTTATTACTCCTTTTGAAGAAGTGGTCAAGATCATTGAAATGTAGTCCTACATTTTTTGGTGCCTGGTGCTTGTAGAAGAGAAATTGGCTCTGCTTCTAATCCTTTTTCAGTCAACACTCTTTAGGAAATACAGAGTGCTCTGGTGTATTATAAGGTAATCTTTGCTAGTTGGAATATCATTCTCCCCTTGTCTTACATAATAGATTTCTAGAGCTACATTAAGTGTGAAACAGAGGAAAGAAAGAAGAAAAAAAGAAAGAATGAGAATAGCAGCCAGTAATTGAGAATGCAGGATGTGAATTTACACTCCCCTAGGCTACATGCTAGTCACTTGACCACGATAACTATTCCACACAGTTTCCTCATCTGTAAAATGGGGAGGCCAATAGCACCTGGGGTTGTCAGAAGAATAAGTGAAATAATCCACATAAGGTGCTTAACAGACTCCCTGGAAACCATTCATGAAATATCAGTTATCACTACTGGTATTTTTCGCACTGTTAAAGCTGTCTGGAATAAAAATAACTTTTGCATGCTATAGTGCTCATGTATCTACCATGCATGGAGTGTAGCAGGCAAATATTAGTTTGGTTAAATTGTTAACACTAGAACAATGGCTCCACTAATAAAGATTGATTCTGAAAAAGGTGTTTAAACTTCCAAACTGATCGATTTAGGAGTTCTAAGATGACAGTACAATAATTGATAACAAGATTATGAATAACAGATTTGTATTTAAGTTTATGTTGCAATGTCTTATACTTTCTTAGCATTAATTCCTAAAAATGTGACATTAGCAGAAGCTAGGTTAAGGGTAAATTGGGTATTTTTGTACTCTTTTTATAGCTTTTCTGTGAGTCTAAAATCATTGTGAAATGAAAAGTTAAACACACACAAAATTCCTAAAAATTGACAGGTTGTACCAATTTTTACTGTTTGGGTCTATTTCAATGCTACCTCACAAATACTAAAAATAATGACTTAAAAATCTTCCAGTAGGTAAAAAACTGTATCTTCTCTTAGTTTGCCTTTTATTGACTTAATGAAGCTAAACACAATTTCATATTTCTCAGTCACTTTTATTCTTCTTTTGTAAAAAAACTATTCATATTTTTGCCAACCTTTCTACTGAGTATACTGTATATTACTACAACTTATAACATTAAACTACAGTATAATTGTATGTTTAATCAAATTATTTGATGGGACTATTAGCCTTTTGAGAGCTGTAACAGACAGCGAGTTACAGTCAAGAAAATTCCTTGAATGTATACTGATGTTAATTACTAAATGGTTTAATACACGATATTGAATTTTCTGCTTAAAAGACCTCAAAAAGAAATTAGTCTTGAATGGGATTATATACAAAGTAAAAAGCTTCTGCACAGCAAAGAAAATGATTATCAAAGCAAAGAAAATCTCCACAGATTGGGAAAAAATACATCTTATAAGGGGTTAATATCTGAAATATATTTTAAAAATTCAAAGAATTCTACAGAAAAAAAAACAAACCAAAAAAAACCCCAATTAACCAATGGGCAAAAGCACTGAACAGACATTTCTTAAAAGATAACATACCAATGGTCAACAGATATTATGAAAAAATGCTCAATATCACTAGTCATTAGGGAAGTGCAAATTAATACCACAATGAGATATCATCTTGCATCTGTCAGACGGCTATTATCAAAAAGACAAAAGATGGTAAGTGTTGGCAAAGCTGTAGAGAAAAGGAAACAAAGGAATCCCCATACACTTTTGTTGGAAATATAAATTGGTACAGCCATTTTGGAAAACTATATGGAGGTTCCCCAAAAAACTAAAAATAGAATTACCATATGACTCAATAATCTCACATCTAGATATATATCCTGAGAACTTGGAATCAATATGTCAAAAAGATATCTGCTCTCCTTGGTTCACTGCAGCCTTATTTACAATAGCGAAGTTATGGAATCAACTTAAGTATCCATCAATGGATCAGTAGATAAAAACAAATGTGGTATACATACACAACGGAATACTATT